AGTAGCAGTAGCAGTAGCAGCAATAATACTAATAGTAAAGGTCATAGCTATACTACTAGTAATGGTAATGGTAATGGCAATAGTAATAGTTACAGAAATAGTAATAGTCATCCTGTAACAATAAGGTTCTTGCCTCCATGGGGGCATATTTGAGATCTTTCAGGACGCGACCGGAGGCATCTGCAGACCAACGTGGAATGCTTCCAGAACCCAATGTGTACTGTCGGGCAACCCACAGGATGTAAAGGGTCCCGGGAAGAATGACATAATGACAAGAACAATTCTAACAGTCGTTTTGTTACAACAATAACAGCAATAGTGACTTCTGTAACCATAAAGCCCCGTGCTTCCTCCTCTTCCTCTTCCTCTTCGCTGCTCTCCTCCAAGACTTGGTGGCTGGTCTTGGATTGAAATGCTCCGGGTTTATGAGGTTTAGGGAAGTTCAAGGCTTAAATTCAGAGCTCAGGTCCACCGTACGAGCTTGGGGGTTGTGGGCTTGGGGGCCTCATGCTTCCTCAATCCCGAATCAGCAACTGCCATTGTAGAGTCGTGTGACCTTTGAGGCTTAGGGTCCAGACTCTAGAAATTAGGATTCAGGATGGAAAGAATCATGGAACTGACACTCTGCTGATGGAGAAGCAAAAACAAGTAGCATGATGCTACGGTCTTTTGGGCAAAAATGGCACCAGTTGTCGTCGTTGTGTAAGTGAAGGTGGTAGCCGCAGCGGCAGTAGCAGGAGTCGGAGTAGGAGGTTGTAGTCTTGCAAGCTGCAGCAGCAGCAGCAGCACCTGACGGCGAGTGATCATGGTCCTACCAATGGAGCAAACTTCAACTCGCGACTTAAACACTTCATGTTGACAACAGACGAAAGCAAGCGCTCTCTGCAACTCTGCCGCTGCTTCCTGTCTAAATATTCAAAACGACAGCAGCGACATGAGAAGGCTGTTGGTAGCAGTTGAACGGCTTTCGGCATGGACTGAAAAGGGAGAATGTGACACTTGTGGGATTTCGGCAGGAGCAAGAGGCAATCAGAAGAGGAGGTGAGGCGGAGTTGTTGTTCGTTGTTTCCCAGAAGCGACGGCTGCTGGACACCACAGGGCGCTGCCGTGTTGATTTGCAGGTACGTGGTTCCATCGTTCTGGAAACTCTCAAGAGCCTCTTTGTTAGATGCCCACTCTTCAGGTGCGGGGCATCCCCCTGCAGTGCAAAGAACAGACCCATGTACCAGTGACCCTCTTTTCCCATGTGCTAAGGAAGTTCACACACACACACAGGCGCACGGACCAAACAAACACAGACACAGCATCAACAGCCCTGCTTGTGATGACAAACAGATTCACTACTATATATCTATGCACTAACGTACATAGTGCATGGATACTGATACGACCCCAGTAATACTGGCGAGCTTTGTCATGTTATCCAAGGCATCTATGGAGGAACGCTGTCCGACACTGCAAAGCCAGGGTCCTGGTCTGTCTCGCTATGCTGCGGCTGCCTGGCGGGTTTCTGAGACTGGTTTGCTTGTGTGTGTGTGTGTGTGTCGGGTTTCGAATCTTTCGGACGGCTTTACTTCAGGTTATAATAAAATGTAAAGCTTTAAGAAGGTCGACTCTTCCTTGGGCTTTGACTGGGCTTTGCCTGCGACGTTTTGAAAAGCCATTCGAACATGAAAGTCAGAAATGCGCCTGGCTATCTTGCCATTTCGTGTGTGGAGCTACTCTGGCTGCTGCACGAATACCATTACATGGCACCTTGCAGTGCAAGCTGCGAGACAGCCCCGAAATCACACTGCTTGCAGCATTTACTCTTGTTTCAAGATCCGGCGACAGCGGCAATTGATTGCATATTCGGTGCCATGTCGAAAACATGCCATGCCAGTTTTCGTTCAAGAGTGCGCTTGTCATCGCTTGTCCACCTGAAGGTTCACAGGCTTCATTGGGCCAAATGTGATTAGAACTACTATGTTTGTGGATACTGTACTTACAACCCCAATCATAGGTACCCACGGTCCTTTCAAAAGAGCCACGGCAACTCAAGCAATGTCTCCGCAATCAGCAATGCTTTTTTCCTCAAAGCTCGTCAGGAAGCGAACTTCACCTACGAGCCAGCCCCTTCTTCCGTTCAGTTCTGCTCAAAGCTGTGATGTGTTGCCAAAGGCGCAGCAGGCAAGGCTTTGGCCAGCTGACAACGGCTGGTGCATCTTCCGAGCTCAGGAGAATGGTGATCCTGAGCTGGGTCATGCAATGTCCGGAGGCGCCCTGCCATCCCGTTCGAGCCACTTATATACTATGGAAATCATACACATGACAGGTACCGGAAAACAGAGACTTTACGAAAGCTTTTGCCACGATATTTAGAACAACAAGAACCAGAACCCCACGCCCTGCAAAAGCACAGCCCAAACTTTAGACTAAAAGCCCTCTCACTAAAGTGCCAACACAAGTAAACGCTTAACCACATAGACCCTATATTTGTCCAGTATCGTAGCGGAACTGAGGGTTAACCTCTGGGATTATGTGGGTGTTGAGCTGCGGGTAAAACCCCCCCCCCCCCCCCCCCCNNCTGAATCCTAAAAACCCTAAACCCTAAGCCGGTAAGGCGAGTTCTGACCGGCCCGGGGCAGAAAAAGCTCCGGGTGCCCGGCAAAGGAAGCGCCGCAAGGTCTTCCGACGAGGAGGCGAACCCTGGAGTTTCATTAGGGTCATGTCTAGGGTTCCTTAAAGGGATCTTGAGGGGCGATCTACAGGGGTTTCTACAGCTATTGGATTCTTTCGGGGTAGTTCTCTAAGTTAGGGTGCCTTTTCAGCACTTACACTCGGACAGTCCTCGGCGAGGTTAGGGTTCCTTTTAGGGTCCCTTTCCATACGGGTGCCGTACCATGCGTTGGACCTAGAAAGGGACCCCCATTTAGTAGTATGCAAACATAAGACACATTCATGAACAGATGATAAGCATAGATCGGCTAGACTTGCTTGGATTAGATTTCATTGCATTAGATTAGGCTAGGCTAGACTGGATTCGGTTTGATTCGGTTAGGTTAGATGAGATTAGATTAGAGTACTTTTGCTTACGTAGAAAGATAGATCGATAGATAGATCGCTATGTAGACACCGCGTTAGGATAGAACATAAACTAATAGATAGATAGATAGATAGATAGATAGATAGATAAATAGATAGATAGATTAGTTAGATAGATAGACAAATAGACAGATAAACGGATAGATAAAGATAGATAGACAGATAGACATACAGATAAATAGATAGGCAGGTAAGTAAACCATACCAACTTTACGAATTTATACACGTACAGAGACCACTTCCTGCATGCAAGCCTAGACTTACCTAGAATTTAGGCCTTCGGCAAGACCGGGCGCTTGCGCACAAGATGCCATACGGCACTAAGCGCCCTGAAGAAGCCATAGAACCGACCACAAAAGACCCTAAAACACACCATAAACCAGAAAGCCCGCAAGCTGCCTAAACCCTAAAGCCCTAATGTAGGGGCCTTCATAATTAGAATAAGGTTTGGGAGTGTAATATACTACAGTTACAATAAAGAGGCCCCAAAAGCAGGAATGGTAGTTAGTAAGGCCCCTATATTAACCCCGTAAGGCCCAATACTGGCCCTTCTAAAACCCTACACTTTAAAAAACACACCGACTGCTAGGTTCCTGAATGACCCCTTAATAGCAAGGGTACCCTTTTTCCTGTTATTCAGTTTAACTACGGGAACCATGCAATAAAAAGGGCAAAAGGGTAGTACTCAGGAACCTAGACTTTGCCAGGCCTTCAGTTGCTGAAAGCTGCAGATCACGAGAGGAAACGGGACAGAAAGCCTCAGACATCATCCGTGGTGTCTTTGTTTTCGGGCTTTTGACACTTAAACTCGGACATAAGGTTTTTGGCTTCAGGGCTTCGGGTGTCCGTAATGGCTCCCATCTCGCCAATGAATAATGGTTTACGTTTCTTAGGGTTTGTGGTTATCGGTCCATAATCTTTACAACAGTCCTTCGGGTCTACATGTTTGGAGCGGGCTTGTGAGTTGAGGTTTGTGGAGATCGTTGAAAGTAAGGGTTTTTGAGCGCAACACGCACTGTGCCGGTTCGTGGGGCGATACACGCTGTGCAAAGACCTATGGAAGGCTCGAACGAGATAACGGCGAGGCGCAAGGGGAACGGCTTTAGGTTGTTTATGTATACATACACAGGCCGAAGCAGCCACTACACACAATTTTACTGGTCAACTTTAAGTAGTTGTGGAGTAGGGGTTTCACTGGGTTTGTGGTGGGTGAGTTGCAGCAGGGCTTAGTGTGAGAAGTGTTGTACTCTGTCACATGTACTCGGACATACATATGTACGTGTGTACATATGTATACATATATATATATATATTAATATATATATATATATATGTACTGAACGGAAGTAGTGGCCAGCAAGCTTTGTGAGCAATTGCATAAACAACCTCTCAGTGCTGTCTGAGCGCCCTAGGCCCCCAAAACGTTAAAGTCAAAGCACCCACCACTAACATGAACATGAATGAATATGTAAGCTCAACGAAGGAACAACACACACACACACACGTCCCACTTAAGACCTTCGCCAAAGTACTTACATGACAGCCCGATAGACACTCGAAAATTGGTTTTATAACTCGAACGTTCTTGTTTTCTCTGCTAGTACTTTTGCGGGATCTTGCTCCTGCTCCTGATCTTGCTGCTCCGGCTCTGGCTCTTTTCTGGGAGGATTCAGAGGGGTTATTAATTAAGGGGGGGTCGTATTTGGCTATCGATCGATGGATGCTTGAGCGTGCGTATGTTTGCGTGTCGTGTGCGCAGGCACAGAAGCGACGTGCAAAGGCGAGGCAACACTGTATCCTCATCCACATTGCATATACATACATACATACATACATACATACATACATACATACATACATCCATCCATCCATCCATCCATCCATCCATCCATCCATCCATCCATGCATGCATGCATGCATGCATGCATTCTTGCATTACATTACATTAGTACATGCGTACACACATACAACACCAGGCGCTTGGCAGCTATGCAAACCGCGGCAGTCGAGTAGCTTGGCGGCATCATCACCGTCTGCGATGACCATGGCATTTTCGGTCTGGAAAGCGGCATGGGAAAGAAGCAGCTTCAACCGTTGAGAAACCGCCCTTAGACGACACGGTACGACCATGCGAGACCTGTGTAAGTTAGTGGCGTGTTGCTCAGCCTGGCAGTTAGCAGCTAGGGGCTAGAACTTCCTCTGAAGCAGCAGCCCGTTCCCCTGCAATGCACACCCAGTCCTTGACGCACCTGGCAAGTCGGGATATTTGCCACAAAGCTTCAGAATCATCATTTTGGGCTGAGAGTCTCAAACCCCTATAAACCCTAAACCACTAGACCAAAACCTCTGAGGTGTGCTGATCAGGCGCTGGTAGGTGGACTGAAGCGCAGAGACGCGGTGGACAAAGCACTGCTCATCTGGTCCACACTTCTTCTTGCCGCACTGGGGGTTCCTTCGGGTCAAAAAATTCCCCACCAGCCGTTGGGGGTTTAGGGTTTAGGGACCAGCCTTTGGGGGTTTCGAGGGTTCCTTCAAGCAATCAGTTTCGACTCTCACTCTCGCACGCAGCAGGCAAGGAATCAGTTTAGGGTCTAGGGCTAGGGTTTCAGGGATTCCTTCGTAGCGCTTGGAGCATTGTAAGGAGCTTATGGGTGTTACCTTCAGCTGCCATATCAGAGGGGCAAGTTTACGCGGGTCCCTTGTGGGATCCTGTTTAAAAGGGTGCCGTACTATTGAAGACCTGAAGAGGGACCCTCATTTAGAGAGCTACCCATATGAGGAAAAACTCTAAGGTTCTCCCATTGGCCCTAAGCCCTAAACGCCCCAAGCCCTAAGTACAAACCCTAAACCCTAAACCTAGGGATTCCAGAAGCCTCGGCCCGATCCACATGGCTACAACTCGAAATCGCGCACATCCAAAGACGGTAATATAGGGGCCTCTATGGTTAGAACAGTGTCTTTTGCGTTAGACTCGAATCGAACAAGGAACCCAAAGGAATGATACTGGTAGCAATTCAATCTTCCGTGCAAATCTACTGCCACCCAAGCAGCTCTTCATCAAGAATCTTTCCTTGGACGCGCAAGTGTCTTTTTCTTGCAGCTCCCGTTTGCTGACGAACTCTTTGGTTCTCAGAAGGGAAGGGGGAATGGGATCCCGATGATAGGTCCTGTAAAGTACGATTTCTGTAGTCCGCATAGCTCATTCCGCACATTCCATCGTGAGAACCAGGCAGTTAATCGTGCGCAGCCGAAGCCTGAGATTGCCGAGGGGCGAATGTCCCAGGGTTCACAGCCTGCGCTCTGTGGTTTATATAGGGCTAGGGTTTAGGGCTTCTGGGCTTTTGAGGGTTTAAGATTCGGGGTTTAGGGTTCAGTGCAGTTTAGGGTTCAGGACTCAGGGTTTTAAAATTGGGGGGTTTAGGGTTTAGGGTTCAGGGTTCGTGCTCAGTGCTGATGAAGGGGTACCGCTACGGCTGGTGGCTGCTCCAAGCCTTTAGGGTTTAGGGTTTAGGGTCGCTCTTTTTGTTGTTTCTCTCTCTCTCTCTCGCACTCCCGGGTTTTGTCTAAGAGCCCTGAACCAAATCCGACTGAGGTCCTACTGTGCCCTACAGCCAAACCCTATAAACCCTACAGCTACTAGATCCAACACCCACCTAAACCCTAAACCCTAAACAATAAACTCTAAACCCTAAACCCTAAACCCCTAAACCGTTTAGGGTTTAGGGTTTCAATAAACTCTAAACCCTCCACCAAAATCCTAAAGCCGAAAACCAGACACCCCCGAAGCTCTCTGAGCAGGCGCGGAGCGCATCATTTCGTTGCAGCGGTACCAGGCATTCTTCTTAAGGTCCATGATCATGCGTGCTTCGTCCTTAGGATGTAGGATTTAGGGTTTGGGTTTCGACGCACAGGGTTTGGGTTTAGGGTTTAGGGTTTAGGGGTAGGGGGCTGGTAATTTTTAGTCTAGGGGGCTTCGTGAAAGGAGCGGTCCAGGAACCCTAAGCCGAACGAATCCAAGGGTCTTTGTCGTTGGTCGGCCCGTTGCAGTGGCCGTCTGGCGGCGCGGCGTTCTCCGGCTCTTTACCTGGATCTTTTCCTGCCAACCCAGAGACTCCAACATCCCAATTAAGGAATCTACCTTAAATCATATTAAGGATCCTACTATAGTTACTATAATTTAAGGAATATTCCTTAATTAAGGGATATTGGAGTCTCTGGGAAACAAGGGCTCCATCAGGGCATCCACTGAGAAGGCCTCATACGGCAAATGCAGAACAGGTCCCTTCAACTGACAGTTGAAGCAAGGTTCCTGCACCGTCGTCTTTTGCAGGAACCTGTCACGTGCTCTGGACATCGGTAGTCTCATGTCGTGTTTTCGGTCGCATATGCATCAGCGTTTCCCTAATCTTCTTCTGCTTGCAGTTCCAGGCCTTCTGAGCCTCTCCTGCGGCTTCATCCGGAGGTGCACCCGGTGCCTCCTTCACCTCGCCTTGCTCGTCCCTCGGTAGAAGAATAACTTCGTCGATCATTGAAACACTCCGCCTCTCCACGAATCGAAGTACATCGCCCTCCTACATACCTGTCTGTGTACATAAAACGCGTAAGCAGTTAACAAATAAGACACTTTCTCAACACAACGTGTCACACATATGTGCGTAGCATACATATATGTATCTATATATATATATATATATATAAACACGTGCACAAGCACATGCCCGTGCCCATGCACATGCCCATGCCCCATGCACATGCGCATGCACATATACACTTACACTTACACATAAATACGTACATACATATACACATACGTACA